CCGGGGTGGCGGGGGCGGAGGAGAGAACGAGGGAGGCCTCCGTGAGTACCTGCCCCGGCGCTGTGGGGCCTGCAGGGCGGCCCAGGGGCCTGGGATCTCCGGCGCTTGCTTCTCCGGGTGACGAGCCCGGGCGGAGCCGAATCCACTGGGATGTCTCTTGCCCAGCTGGGCCAGGCCGCTCTGGGAGGCCACAGGCCTGAGCTGGGTGTGGCGTGCCTCCCTTGCCCATAGCGGGGTGGAGTTTGCAGCAGCTGAGACCTGCCCAACTCATTTCACACGTGATCCTCCAGGGTTTGTGTCCCGTGTCCCCAGCGGCACGACGCTGCCGCCCTGGCCCAGTGGCTCGTGGGATGTCTCTTGCCCAGCTGGGCCAGGCCGCTCTGGGAGGCCACAGGCCTGAGCTGGGTGTGGCGTGCCTCCCTTGCCCATAGCGGGGTGGAGTTTGCAGCAGCTGAGACCTGCCCAACTCATTTCACACGTGATCCTCCAGGGTTTGTGTCCCGTGTCCCCAGCGGCACGACGCTGCCGCCCTGGCCCAGTGGCTCGGGGGGGCTGTGCCGAGAGACTGAGCAAGCTGCCTCCCAGCGAGATGTTCGGGGCAGTGGTTCAGGACTCAGACCCAGCAGGGAGGGACCCGTCCGGCTCGGCATGGCAAGGCGCTGCTGCCGTCCCCCTGTGGCTGAGGGCTCGCCCCGGCCCAAAGGCACGCCAGCTCCTCCGTGGCAGCCCGGGCCAGGGCCCAAGTAAAAGAGCCCGAGTCGCAGCGACTCCCAGAACAGGCCTCCCTGGCCCTCTGCTCCCACGGCCCCGCCCGGCCTCCAGCCGCTGGGAACCAGTCGCCAAGAGCTCAGGGCAGGTCCCGGGGGGGTCATGGGCTGGGCCAGAGGTTGTGCCAGGTCTTTGGGGGCGCTGGGGCGATGGGGAGGCATGGAGCAGCTTCCCAGCTCCGGAGACGCAGGGCCACGGTCTAATGGGGCCAGTGACCCCGGCCTCCACGCTGGCTGTAAAGTCCCGTGGGCAGAGGTGGCATATCAGGCCTCATGCGCCTGCCGCGGGGGCTGGCCTCTGCTGGGGGTGCTTACACCCGCGGCCGCGGCGCGTTTCAGGAAATGTCAGCTCCTTCGGGGAACTCCCTGGCTATTTCCTCGCTGAATCATTTACGGCGCCATCCCAGGCTATCAATTAATGACGGCGGCTAATGCCTGGTCCTCAGCCTGCTCGCGGAGCCCGCGCCGGGGCCGGGGGCCTGGCCGCCCC